TCAGTCAGCTATTTCTGCGTGATTTTGTTGCTCTTTTACTGCCTACACCATTGGATAGTATAGAAAGTAAAGGAAGTGGGAAGGCATTTTCCTCCATTGCCTGGCCTAGTGATCACATTCTGATTCACAGGATAAGAGCTGACATTACTGGACTGCTATTTTACCACATCCTGTGTTTTTGTCAAGTTTATTAGCATACTGGCTATTAATAGGCCATATTAGTGTCAGCCCCAAATTTCGGCTTGTGTGGAAGTGTGGGCTTCTCCAGGCTCCTCTCTTCTTGTCCTGTTGCAGGAGGGAAATTTCTACCAGGGTCCACATAATTAAAGAAGATGACTGTATGGGTCTTGGGCAGGGAATGGCTCAGGATAGCTTGGATTCTCCTATGTGACTCAGTGGTCAGTTTTGTGTCACCTCAAAACTCTGTCCTACTTAACAGGGCTTAAATTCCTTGTTCAGTTTCCTGCTAGCTTTTCCTTTTCTAGGCTTTAATGGGAATATTATTCTCTTGACAGCTGTGGTCCTAGCACCAACATAGAGAGCAGATCTCTGGACATTCCTGGGGCTGCTGGGAGTAGCAGTGACAATGATAAAGTACCTGGCATTCGTGTGCCTCCCTGGTGTCAGCTTTTGTGTAGATTGCTTCCTAGTGAAGACCGGGAAACACTTGTGCTTTTGGAAACAGCTGGTCGTGGTGGCACAGCCTATAATCCCAGCACTCTGGGAGACTCACAGATTTGAGCTCAGCTGGGTCCCTTAGTGACTTAATGAGACCTTGTCTCAAAAGAAGGTGGGTCACAGTCCTGGTTCAGACACTGTATCGTGGTGAAGACGTCTCCAGTCCTGTGCCTGGGACTTGAAGGAAGTGCGGGAAGCTTGTGAGCTCCACTGTGGGCCACACTCCTTGGCAAGATTCTGGGGCTTCTCCCAGCCTCCAGGTGCCCGGGACTCTTCCTCGAGCTCTGAAAGAGCCGGCCTTTGGGGTGGGAAGGCCGTGTTTTGGGTGTCTCACAAAAATCTACAAGTTGGTGATGTAGCAGAGGGGTGGCTTCAGTCATTCAAGAGAAGATGTGGAGTGTTCGCCCAGAAAAATGCTCATAGGAGGACTGCACGTAGTTTTAGGGTTCTGGGTATCCGCCGCCTGCTGTGATCAGCTTACCTTCTGAAAAAGCTCTTGGAGATTCTAGCAGTCATGGTGGAGTGTCCACAAAAAAGTGCCAGCACAGAGAACACGTGAAGAAGTGCTGTTGAGCCTGGGCTTCGCGGCTGCCCTCTGTGAGGGCTGTAGACGCTTGCATTTGCTGCCCTGCTGCTCAGGTAGAACTGGTGTGTGGGTTGGCCACCTCAGCGTGGTCGCCTGTGCCACCCTGCTCCTTTCTGTTGCCTTCTCTCCAGAGAGCCGAGGTGGGGCGGCCATGGTTCCTGCCTCGTTCTCCTCTAACTGTCTGCCTTGGGGCTTTTGAAGATGGTGTCCTTTTGCATGTGTGGTGAACATCTAGGAGGCAGAGGTCCCAGTTCCAGGGCTGTGTGCATTTGCTGAGGGCACCGCAGTGGTGAGGTGCCTGCCGTAGCGACCAGCAGCACTTCGCAGGAGTGTGCACGTGGAGGTGGCCATGACCACTGACTGAGCAGAGTTGGGTCCACGGCAAGCACGGAGTGCACAAGCCTTTAGGGAGTGAGGACCTGGGATCACATGGTGACAGACAGAGAAGCAAAGCCCACCAGCAGCCCTCCCTACCGCCACTCCTGGTGTCAGTGGGAGCAGGGCTCTGCCCTGCCTGGGCACCACTCAGCTGCCCCAGGCTGTTCCGCCAGTGCAGAGTAGTGCTCTTCTGGGCTGTGACCTAGAGCCACCTGTGTGTACCCAGGCGCGAGTACAAGGGGGCAGTGAGGAAGTGCCTCGGTAGCAGCTATCAGTGGCCCCACACTTTTGCCTTTGGACTGCTTAACTTCTCACATGTTTCCACTAAAACTTTCAAGATTAGGAGCATAGGTCAGGACAGTTGATGTCATATTTTGGAAATTTTAACTTTCTTTGGACTGTTCTTGGAAGATGCATCTGAGAGCGTGATACAACCATGATTGCTTCAATATAGAAACTTAAAAAATAATTCATGCAGGAAAAGATGACAAATCTAACTTTGTATCCCAAATATGTACCAGGATGTACTTTAGTTTGAGAACTCTGCAGAACCACACAGAAATAGTTCTTCGTAGTCTGCTTGTGCATTAGGTGCAGTTGGAGCAGACTCGTGTAGATGTTTTTCAGATGTGAGTATAGTCAGGTTGACCGGTGGTCGTGCATTCTCATCAAGCAGGAGCGTGTCGCTTCAGCTCTCAAGACACTTCCCTCTGTCCTCGTCCTCCCCTGCCCTCCAGTCTGTATGAAGCCTTTCCTGTGTGCGTTCTTCTGCCCCACTGCTGTCTTGCTCTGGAAAGGCCTACCCTCATTTTAGAGTTCCTCCTGCTGATGGCAACCCACCCCAGCCTTGCTCTGATTCCTGCGGCCCTGTGGGAGGGCCGTACCGGCCCAGTGTAGTTGCTAGCAGCTTGGGTCTGTGGCTCTTGGGAGGTGTACCAGCCTGTACCCACCTTGTTCGCACCTGGCACTATGTCCAGAAGCTCCTTGGTGACCACGAAGGGCCTTTTGGCCTTTTCGTTACTACATATACAAAGTATTTAGTTGTATTTGTTTCCTTCAGACCTCTTTGCTTATAGTGTCCCTTTTTCATTAAAAAATTTGTTTTCTAATGTTAACTCATGAATCTTATTCTTCATAAGTGTTGCTGTTTGATTAGTTAGTATTTTGTGATTTTAGTGTTTTATTTTTTAAGTGTGATAAAATACTCCCAAATTTACATTTTTTAAGTATCTGGGATTGATTTAAAATAACTCTGTAGAGGTCTGGGGAGATAGCTCGGCAGCATAAGTCCCTGCCTGGTAAGTGCAAGGTCCACTTGCATCCCTGGTACCACATGCCGTGCTGGCCCAGAAACTGGGCTTGGTGGTGCACACCTGTAATCCCAGCGCTGGGGAGGCTGAGACAGGAGCATCACTCCGAGTCTGAACTGCAGAGCGAGACCCTGTATCAAAAATCTAAAGTAAGATAAAATAAATAATAAAATGAAAGGTAATCCTCAGGTTAATTCTGTCCAACCATTAATTTAAATAAAATAACTTTGGAATTCTAATCAGAATATTCTTAAAATCTGGAGGTTTACTCTGTCCTGTGAAGGGAGTGGTGGGTGGACTGCAGGTGTGGTCTCTAACCAGCCTCTCTTGGCAGTGGACTGGATTGTCGCCGACATCCTGGCCATGCGGCAGAACGCTGTGGGACATGTGCGCTACGTACTGAAAGACCAATTGAAGTGGCTTCCCTTGTACGGGTATTACTTTTCTCAGGTAACCTGCTTCTCTACCATTTTGTTAATGTGCTACATTTATTTATCTATTTGACAGGATTTCATTATGTAGGCTGGCCTCAAACTTAACATCTTTCTGCCTCAGCCTCCCTAAATGTTGAGATTGTTTTTGTATCAAGTTATAGAATCTTTTATTTTAAAAATTCAATATGCTCTAAATAGTTATTTTTTTTTTATGTACAGGGTCTACAGGGCCTCACTACATAGATCAGACTCGTAGTGATCCTCCTATTTTCAGCCTCCCAAGAGCTGGGATTATGGGCCCTCGTGCCGCCACGCCCATTCTCAGCCGTCTAGGCGTACTCCAGAGGCAGGGCTGGCATGACATGCCAGGGATCGAACCCCAGTTGCTGGGGTTTTTTATTTTTTATTTTATTTTTTAACATTGTTTTGAAGTTACTAGGATTGAGCCCAGGTCTTTTTTTTTTCTTTGTATTTAGGACAGGGTCTTTGGTGTTTTGGTACAAGGTCTCATTGTGTAGATCAGACTTGTAATGATCCTCCTGTTTATAGCCTCCTAAGTGCTGGGATTACAGGCGCGCACCACCAAGCTCAGTCTCAATCTCCATCTCAGTGTGTCCTGTGGGTGAGGCCGGCACTGCAGGCCCGGGGATTGAACTCCCAGCCCCTGCATCTACCTAAGCAGGTGCTTTAATCCACTGAGCTATTTTGCAGGCCCTGAGCCCAGGTCTAAAAGTGCACCAGGCGAATGCTTCACTACTGAGCTATGCCCTAGCCCATAGATATGGTTTAAATATTCATATTCTAAAATGAATGTTATTTTTGTTTGTGTGTTTTCTGTTTTGGGGACAATATCACTGTGGAGTTCAGGCTGGCCTTGATCTTAAGGTGTAGCCCCAGTTGGCCCCTAACTTATGGTGTAGCCCCAGTTGGCCCTAACTTGCGGTGGTCTTCCTGCCTCAGCCTTCTGAGTGCCGGGATTATAGGTGTGTACCATCAAACCTGGCTTATTTTTAAATGTGTTTATGTAGTGTATGATTATCCATATAGTTAAATGAAGTAGCAAATAGGAAGCTAAAAAGCATGGCATTCAGTACTTATCTTAAACTAATGATAAAAGTAATTTGTGACCCGTAAACACCAAGACACAACAGCGAGCTACCAGCTGCCAAGCACAAGGAATCCCGGGCCCCCTTGCCTGCGGGGACAGCTGCCTTCCCAAGCCTGCGTCCCTGTGCAGGCGCTCTTCTTGCGAGGGTGCTGGGCCTAGGCCTGTGTTCCCTGCAGTGACCTTCGAGTCTCACACACACACACACACACAGCGGAAGCTCAGCCTCAGTGTGTGGCTTGGGGGAGCTTAGTCACACAGGCCCACATAAATATGGTAGCTGGGTCAGACTTTTCAATCCTGAAGGATTCTGAGCGTTGACTTTGGTTTTTTCTTTTGTTTGTTTTCTATTTGAGACAGGGTCACACTATGCAGTTCAGGCTGGCCTTGAGCTCTCTTTGTAGCCCAGGCTGGTTTTGAACTTCCGCTGCCTTTCTTCCTTTGGCTTTTCGAGTGCTGGGATTACAGGTTGCGCTACCACGCCCGGCGCCAAGTGTTGACATTTTAAGGATACTTTGAGTGATTCTATCAGTAGTAATCAGTGGAAAAACTGGGAATTATGCTTTATTTGATCAAGGTTTAGCTTAAAACTTACATTTTAAAGAAGTGAATTTTTATTTTGAGTGCCAGCAAAACCAAGTGTTTGTGTATTTTGTGACACAGTACAGCATGCAGTTTTATGTGAATTTTACGTTGATAGTTTTCAGCATGTGTTGTTTTGGTACAAATATTTGAACATATTGAATCAAGCGTAAATTCTGAAATAGAGTTAAATATTTTCTTCTTTGGTCATGAAGTGGCCTTTCTGACAACTGTGGCCACTGCTTATTTTAAGAATAAATATTTTGTCTTTTCAATTTTTCTTTGTACAGCACGGAGGAATCTATGTGAAGCGAAGTACCAAGTTCAATGAGGGCAAAATGAGGGCCACGCTGCAGAGCTACGTGAACGCGGGGACGCCGGTACGAGCGCCTGCTTTTATTCCCCATCAACTTGCAGTTTTTAATTTGAGAACTTAATTAGAATGTAAGAGTTGGTTTAAAAGTATCTTTGCCACACCTGCTAAGGGTGTGGTGAAACAGTGGAAACCCACTAATTTGAGGGGGCCCTTGGCAGCTTCCTGTGGAGGGCTCCCGCTGGGGCTGGGGACGGGAGGGTCGGAGTGCTCTGGTCCCCAGGCCTGCACACAGCGTGCAGCTGCACTGTGGCCCTGCGCTCTGCTTGCTGCCAGCGCGTGGCACATGCCATCTTCTTCGCATCAGATTTCTTTCTGAAATAGCAACTGTTCCTGTCAACTGTTCTTGTGTACACTGAGTTGTCTGAAAAACCAAAGCAGGAGGAATAGCTACATGTGAAAAAAAAATGGTTCATTGTGAATGTTATTTTATAAAACTTTACTCAAGAAAAAAAAATTTCCGCTTCCATGTGAAGAACACTGTGCCTAAAGGGGAGGGAAGTGCCCCCGACCTGGCTGCGGTGGCCCGCGATGGCGGCGGCAGCGAGGGCATTGACCAGTGGCGCGGACAGGTCTTTCGGCCCCTGCCTGCTCTCCCGCCACCTTCCTCTTCTGGTGACTGCAGGAGGAGACAATGGTTTGAACAGACTTTCTTACCAAAAAACTTTATGAGTCGGTTATCACATTTTAGAAGTAGCATCTGGTGTTTCTAAAGGCAAGAGCGGCACAGTGTGGACAGCAAGAGAGGCTGTTGGGCTCACAGTGATGCGGAGGGCTCTTAATGTTCACGTCACTGTGTGCATGGCCTGGCCTTTAGATTCTGTAGAGTTGTTTCATTTGTTTAACATTTAAGGCCCGTAAAAGCAGAGATTATTGCCTCCTTTGATTTTGTTTGTGTGTGTGTTTTTTTTTTTTTTTTGCGGAACTGGGGATTGAACTCAGGTCCTTGTGCTTGCCAGGGAAGCACTTATTCCACTGAGCCATCTCCCCGGCCCCGTTTTGGTCTTTTTGAAACAGGTTCTTGCTGTGCAGTTCAGGCTGGCCTTGAGCTCACTCTGTAGCCCATGCTGGCCTCAAACTTGCACCAGTGCTCCTGCCTCAGCCTCCTAAGTACTAGGATTATAGGCATACACCACCACTCCCGGCTGTTGCCTACTTGGTTATGCTCTTGTTTCTAAAAATTAATTAAAAGGCCAGCAGTATAGCTCAGTGGACTAAGTGCCTGCTTAAGCAAGTGCTGGGACCAGGGTTCGATGCGCCCAGAACCACATGCTGCGCCAGCCCTGCCCCTGGGTATGCTGACCTGGCTACAGGTCGGGCGTGGTGGCTCATGCCTATAATCCCAGCACTGGGGAGGCTGAAAATAGGCACATCACTGTGAATCTGAGCTGCATAGTGAGACCCTATACCAAATACATTTAAAAAAAAAAACAGTATTGAAGACAGTATTTTTGTAAGATACTAGAAGATATGAATGAAACATAACAAAAAGTACTGCTTCGTCTATAGAAGTCATCCAGTTAGAATTCAGTGTAGTAAAATTTGTGTGACAAATTTGAAGCCATACTTTTTCTCCCAACCTTTACATTTCTTTCAAAGGGGAGGGAGGCTCTTGGAATTGGATTATCTAATAATCCTCTCAAATCAGATTTGGCTTTAAATCCTAGATCTGCTTAAACCTTGTTACTTTACACAAGTTACTTAACCTTTCTAACCTTTACACAAGGTACTTAACCTATTATGTTAAGTCTTTTGGTAGCTATTTAATGTGATAGGGCTTACATTTAGAATTTAATGTTGCCTCTGTAACACATTTCCACAAGCATATTGGATAAAAGTAGCAGCGGTATTATTTTACCATTTGTGAAGGTCAGTCCAGGGTACCTGTCTCTGGACCCAAGTGGAGCTTCTTCGGGACTGTGGTCTTTCTGGAGTCTCATGTGAGAGCCTATCTGAAATAAAAATATCAAAAAGCTTTGGAATATAGCTCAGTGTAAAGGCTGTAGTATCCATTCCCAGTACCCTCCCCCACGCTAGATAGTTGGACACCTTGGTACATGCCTATAATCCCGGTATTCTGGGAAGCTGAGGCAGGAAGATTGCTACGACAGGTCCAAGCCTTAGCAACTTGAACATGCCCAGCCTCAAAATAAAAAAAAAAAAAA